TTAGATTTTTTTGTTTAACAACATATTTCACGGAGAATCAAATCAGTGCCGGACAGTTGGGTGGCGTCGCTTGTAAGATAGATATTCATACGTGTAACATTGTTACACTGTCACTAGCATTCGAGTTGTGAAAATATTGTAAGGTTTTGGGTAAAGTGAATAAAGAATTCTAAGTCTAGCTGTATTTTTTATTTATATAACAAGATTTATGTAATCCATAACAGTAGATTAAATCGATATTAAAATGCAATGAAATGCTTATCAAATATAAGTAAAGGCTGATAAACTAGACGAATAGAACCAATAGGTACATACGAAATAAAGTTTATTTCCCAAATATTTATAATCACTATGTACACGATTCTGTACAAAAGTTTAGAAAAACTAATTCACGAACACTACATACAGCAAACGCAAATATTATAATAAATATGTACATTATAAATAATCGTCTTAGTGATCACACCTAGTTCACTCTAATCATCAGTATTCAATTTTATATTAAAAACAGCATCATTTATAAATATAGATTGTAATATACAATCTTTCATATTTATATATATAAATACATGTATAAGTCGTCAACATAAAAATTCATTAGACGATAAATGAAAAGGACATCTTTTAAAATTTTATGCAGTAAATGTCTCTTTTGTGCTATTCATTCATCCACAATAGTGGCATAAAAATTTTTTTATACAGCATATACACAAGATATTAAAACGATATTAGGTTTCAGTATATAGCAACATAGAATCTATGGCGACTTAGAATCTAAATCAAATCACTTTGATGTAAGACGTTAAAAATATGAAGAAAAATACATTGCATTAGCAATGTTTTATTGAATATTTTTTCTTCTTTTTCGCATTTCTTTCCCAAAGAAATTATGTGTTGAATATGTGTGGATCCCTATCTATTATTTTAGAAACAAAAAATGTAAAATTTAGTTATTTATTTAGGACGAATGGTTTTCATGCCTATTGAATGAGGCCTCGCAAAAGACATTGACTATTTGATTCTATTATACTATATAATTCTTTTCATGATTTAATCTTGTACAAAAAATAATGTAGCTATACTCAATGAACACTTTAAGTGAGACACCCTGTATACTATTACGTCAAGAATTGTTTTTAAAAACCATTTTTTGTTTGATTATAATATAAATAAAATATAATTTATCGCAAACATTCTTAATCTCTACATATAATATAATTACACTAAATCACAAGAAACAAGCAAATCGTATACATTAAGATTTACAAAAAACACAAGATTTTCGTATTATTTTTCCTTTGGCTGTATCATTTACGACATAAGTTAATAAATTATGTATATTAAAAATATGAGTATTCAGGGCTGTATTTAGATTCTCACCCGAGGTGTCATTTTATCTTTGTTGCTCACCGAATGTTAAACAATAGATAACATGATACCTGGAAAACACTCGGGTAGGAATCTGAACGCACCTCAGGAAGAATGTAACGAGTTCATTAATTCTAGTAATAAAAAGTAATATTGTAACGAGTGTCCTGAGATTATTACATATAATACAAAAAAACAAATGCAAACAAATCGAAAAGTATTTAAATATTATTTATAACAATTGTTTAAAGACATTAAAATGGAATTCTTTTTGAAAGAAATCCTTTTTGAAAATAAGATTATTATAAATAAATATATAAAATTTACACACATTTTATCTTTATACAATTAAATAGAAATAAACAATATAAATAAAAATAGTATTACATAGAAGCATTAAATATGTGACAAATTTATAATCTGCAACATATGTACATACGTATGTGTGTTGTAGATTCTTATAATTTTGTATGACAATATTTAAAAAAAATTGTTAGTAAAAATTAAAATAAAATATAAAATTAATTTTATATTATTATACATATACATAATTATTTGAGAGAGAACTAGTATCACTTAAAACTTCCATGTATAACACGTTCAATTGTATCAATCAAACGACTGATGAATTGTTCAAACTAAATGCATTGCAAATTTCGTTTAAGTAAAATAAAATGTCTATTATTTACAATATTGACCAAGTAATCTACAGGCACACTTTTCTGTAAATATTGTACAGTTTGTTATCGTGTGCTTTCTCTACTTAAACGTAGACAATGTTAGTATACTGCAGAGAACTTGGCATTTAAGAATGCATTGTACAGCCTCAAACGAGCTTTTTGAGGATATGTTTTTTTTTTTAATGTAATGTGTTAGCCATCCAATGGTGGTCCTAAGTATACCATGGATACTTCTGTATTTCCATAAACCGCAGATACAGATGGATATAATCTTTTATCTGGTAACCCTGTTTATCAAAGTGATTCGTAAAACTTTACATTCTTGTTTTAATATTTCAAGGAATGATTTGGAAAACAGAAAAAGAAAACGATATATAATTGTCTCAAGCTTTTGATACTAATAATAATAGTAGATAGTAATAACATAAAAGAAATATAGATAAAATGTCATACCTCTAAAAGCTACACCCAGAAATTCGTAATTCTTCTCGAAAGACAAGGTATTATCATCACAATCCAAAATTACTCTAATCCTTTCCCCAACCTGTACATGAAAATTATCAAATGTTAGAAATATTTTCAAACGAGTCACGACAAATATCAATGAATAAATGTAAAAATACACAATAAAATAAAAAATATATATACAAAATGATTCGGTTATTATCAAATACAATTCATGACAAACTTAATACCTGATATTTTGGAGCATTGTTGAGTAAAGGATAATTTCCTTGTGGATCTCCATTATGTAGCAAATGGTTATCGACAAGGTTCCAACCCCAGGAATGTTCATCGGAGCCGAGCAACGCTACGTATCCGTGACACAACAAGGGTGCTTCTTTAGTGGCTATTCCTATTACTGCTACTGTTCCTAATGGTCCTTCCCAGATTACTTCCCAGGCATGACGCCCGTGTCGAAAGCCTATTTTGCCTCTACACGCGTCTGTACTCTGGGCTACTGGATTTCTGCAATGATATGGTAACTGATGCGAGACATTTTGGATATTGTATTTGTCAGATTACTTCATGCTTCTATTATATCATTATAATTTTCACTAATCGCTTAAGAAATTCCATTGTTTATGTACATTCTCCTACAATTACAAGTTAGTTCAACTATAGCTCCTTCAAGCATCTAAAAAAAAAGCATCCTCCAACTATATTGTCCTACAAAAAAAGTCATGAATTTCTTTCTCTGTAACCTTGTCCGCTACATTAATTGACAGCTGGTTTTACAACAGAAAGCAACATTATGACCAGTCAAGATTGCTCTCGAAATATATCCGTGTTAAAAGTACAAACGGAGTCTTCGTTTTCGACGAGCGTGACACGCATGGGAGGAACAACGGTCGTCGCACACCAACCTGTGCAGGGTGAATCCGTTGGGTTTAATGTAAATGTTCCGCGAGCAATCGTTCGGATTCCACGCATGATAGAACGCACGCAGTTTCGACTTGTACGTGGGCACAGACGACAACAAATCGGAGCTGAGGGCCTCCTGGGCAAGCTTTCTTATGCAGTGCATCCGCCACACGTCATTGTTCTCGTCGTTGAGAAACCGGTACCACCGTTTGCACACCAGTGAGCAGTTTCTCAGCGTGTGCAGGTCCAGATACGAGAATATCACCTCTAAAACATGATCAGACGCCCGCAATGCTATATCGTCCATTTTGCCGGGTCCGTCTCGGGAGGAACGAGCGTAAACATATGCGGCACAGAAACACTGTCCGTACGTCACAAACTACGCGCATGTTAGACGGGTACGGGCATTGACGTTCATCGGCGCAGCCCGATTCTAGGGAATGTATCCGAGATATTATCGGGTATCCCACATTCTCGGTTTCACACATTCATGCATTTCAGGACGAGTTCAGACAACTTTGACGGAGCTCCAGTTAATTAAAAGTCTACATGAACTAGAAGAATGACGATGAATTCACCCATCAGATAATGTTCTTACATTATATCGTGCAAGATATAATTAATACAATTTAATATTCAATGTAATTAAACTTCCACATGGGCCATGTGGAATTTTGCATCTTTCGTCGGCAACCTAAATATATCTTTGAGTTTTACAGATTTTTATATTATTCTGCACTTTGATTATTAAAATATGTAATAATTACTTTTTAATCGATCGAGTTATTATGTATTAATTGCTTTTATGTCCACCTCAAAACCATACAACTTTTGTCTAAAACATTTTTTCTAAGATCAAAAATAAAAAAGTTATTTAGGATTGGGCATTAAAATGGGACACCACACACACATGTATGTATATATTTTTATATAATTTTATATAATTATATATGAAACATTTTTTCCTAATATATAAAAATTTGAGAAAATTCTTGCATATGTGTAAAATGTTTTATTATCATATAAGTCCAATTGTACTTTATATACTTTTTATACATTTAAATTTATCTACCAGAATTTACAATCAAAATATCGACTGTGCTTTTAAAGTCCAACTCGACTAGCAGAGGATTAAAATATATGTAATTATGCTTTTCGATCGATCGCGTTATTATGCATTGCATGCCACAAAGTGGTTGCGCAAAAAGAAACACATATTTTGAGATGACATGCAGATATTGAGTTAATTAGAATTATTCTTGAAAAGTTTATTTTTAATAGTAATTTAAATTTCTGACCAGAAAATATTTAAACGTATCTAGTGGAACTACAACATTATTGCAGTATTGAATTAATATTTGCTATTTTACGTATTTTTCCTCTTCGCGAATAAGGCCATTTATATGTTCAAAGACAATTTATTATCATCTGTACAAAAAATTATACAAAATTTACAAAACATACAAGCATAAATATATACGATATATATATTTCAATAATATATTCGATATATAATTGCAATATATATGTTACATAATAGAAATCGCACATAATCACTTTCTTTGTACATATTTCCGGATAGCCACGATCACGATTTAACGAGCACTTTGGGAGGACCATTGTATCGTTTTGTTAATTGAATTATTCTTTCACGAATACCGCTGAGCCTTGCACCATGCACTGTGCTGTAGCGACCAGGTACAGTAGCTTCGCCCGCGAATAAGAGTATAGGAGGTATCGCTTCGCGAGAGTCTAGAAATGACATATATTGAAAAAAATGCAGTCATTAACGGAATTGTAATAATGTCTGATATAAAACTGATCGAGCTGTAATCGTTAATAGTTATCTGATGTTTTTATTTTTATAGATTAAATTGAGAGCTATATATACATTTATAAGCTATCAACATGTAAGATCTCTGGATATTCAAAATTCAGAGTGAAGCTCCAGATAGATATTTAAGTTAAATCCAGGTAAATATTCAAATAACAAAGTGATATCACATAAATGACGTCTTAATTATGTCTTAGTGACGTTTCTAACAACAATAAAACGTTATTAAAATGTCACCTTACTATTTGAATATTCGCGAACGAAAGTTGGAGATACCTGGTAATGGACTAGCCAGATCACACTGGTGACCAACGGTGCTGTCCATCGCCATGTAACTGTAGGCTCCAGTAAAGTATTGGCTCATCTGGTCACCCAAACCCTTTATATCGCTGCCGATATGGCTTTGAAGTTGACCTGGGCAACTGTACCGTTGCTCCTCCGGGAAATTGTGGAGCTCCTGTTGAATTCTGATGCCCATAAAATTCAGCAACGTACCATGAGCACGACCGCAGCCAAGAGAAAAGAGAGCCGCCGCCTGTTGCTCGATTTGCCGGAAGATACGCTACGATGCTGACTGGGAAATCAATGGCTCTACCATCGCTTGTACAGAAAAGTCCACGACTTGGATCCGGCCTGAAGAGCGGTGTCTTCAGTAGACCTTCCTGTGCCGCCAGAGTGAACACTGGGTTCACCACGCTACCACCTTCGATCCATGTCGCACCCATTTCCGTCACCACGTCGCCCAACCAGCAAGAGTGAATCCGTCCACCCGGTCTCGAATTGGAAATGCATTAATTTGTTTATATAAAAGCAAAATTAAAAACGACGCCCCTACAGCACAAAGTTGCACAAAAATTGCAGCAACGCTTGCAGCAACATTGCAGCAATATTGCAGAGATTTTGCAGCGATATTGCTGCAAATTCTGTGCTGTATAGGCGATATAAATCTATTACATTTTTGTGAATCAGGACTAATAAAATGACAAAATGCATTAAAATAGTATTAAAATAATACAGTCAAACTTTTATAATATGTTATTTTGAGATATTATAAGATTTATTAAGATAATATAATATCCTATCACTTTAATCTAATTTAGGTAATGTTAGGGTATACCATACACCAGCGTATTATTGTTCTTACAGTTATTAAGGGGTTTATTAATATTAATTTTTAAATTTTTAAGTTAATTTTTAATTTGTTCAAAATACCTATCTGTGGCCTCTAAAACCGTAAAATTACGGAGGCCACATTGAACCAATCGATGTGCTGCCGATAATCCAGCCATGCCAGCTCCTATGATCACAACAGTTGGTTGTGGTTTGCTCGGATCTATCATACAAGGTTCCAGCTGATATGGTTCGAAATTTGTCGACTTTGCACATTCTGGTATATCTTTTTTACTTCCTCCACCTTTGTCCGAGAATAATCTGCAACGCAGGAGATCATTTCATTCGATTACTTTGGATTGCAAATGAAATCCAATTTCATTAACAAATGAGTCGATAACATGAAAAAGTACCATTTTTGGCAAAGAAACTGTAATCTCATTTGACAATTGATTAATTCCCGCATACCTTGTGAGAAATTTCAACAGCTTCCTGGATGATACCCTAGATTTGAAGAGCATTTCATTGATTGTGTGGTATTAAAACCAATTAATTTATAGAAAAAGTGGTTATTAGTTGCTCAGAAATTTAGACGTATATAATTTAGACACGGGTTACTATGAGAAAGATATGTCATTTACAAACAAACAACTTCATTTACGACTTTCTATTGTCGTCTTGTTATCTTTCGCATTTATCAAGCGATACATAATTACTTGTGATAGCTGATAGTTTTAATTGTAATTTAAATTGGTGAAAGAATTTATAATTTGGTATAAAGCTTATAATAATAATAGTAATTGGCAAATAATCAATTCACAGCTTTCCTGCTTAAAAAAAATTTGGATACAGATCTTTTAATTTTCGTTTAAAAATTTATAATTTGTGAAAAATTAATATTAAATTGAGAATATAAGATGTAAATACATAAATCGCAAAATTAAATGATCTACATTAGCTCCACATTTATTTCTTACATAACGTCTAGTTATTATATAATATTATAGATATAGATTTGGTATTTGCACATTGATATTTGTTAGAATGCATATTTCCTAAGGTTTATTCGGTTGAAAGTATATAGTACGAATAATCGATAAAGCGACGATCATATTTCGTAGATATCTAATAGTTATAAGATTAATACACATTCTGTTAGTGCAAAACCCAGTGAGAAATGACAATGGAATCGACGTCGATTCCAAATCGATGTCGATTCGATGTCGAAATCATCGAATCGACGTCAAATCAACGTCGATTTAACGTCGATTCCATTGTCATTTCTCACTGGGAAGTAACTATCATAAAAAGTGCGAATATGGTATTTATTATGCGAAATACGGAAAATGCATAAATTTGATGTTAAAGCCGATCTACATAAGACACAGAATGCAAAAATCTCGAAGCAAATCACTTTTAAAATTAACGCATCGGATTGGCTGACGCAACAAGCTTGCAACTTGCGACTCGCGATGTGTGCGTGTAGATCGGACTTTAAGAATAAGCGCGTAGCGTTATCAAGTTTTTTGGCGCGCGAAGTTGGTCGCGCCGAAAACGAAGCTGTACCCCGCGGCGTCCTGGCCGCCATCTTGACGCATTCGTGTTTCATTTGCACGCGACGGACACGGAACAGATCGGCTCCGGAAATATCTGGCATCGCGATTCACTAATTGGTAAGGAAACTTATATGCAGTGATGGATAAGATACTTTTAGAATGTATCTAGATACAGATACTTGAAAAGTGTCTTCAGATACACGTATCAGATACTTTTAAATTATATTTTATATTTTATTATAATAACGGTAATATTCAAAATAAGAGCGCGTTTCACTTAACATTCGCAACGCTCGCAAGTATCATTTTATCCTTTTTGTCATTAAACAAGGATGAGAATATATGTCAATAATTGTCATTTTTTTTTAATTGAAAGATATACAGGGTGTATCTGAAATAACGTATACTACTGAAATAATCATACAGTGCTATTCCTAATAAAAAAACTGAGTCGAAAAGTCTTTTACCATTTTGCAATTTTCGCAATAGTTAACAAGATATTAATTACTAAAAATCGTTGAATATTGGTTTTCAATAATTTTTTACTCAAATACTATCAATTTTACAGAAAAACTGCTAGAGATAAAAATTGTTTATTTTCTTCTCATAAAGTTACAAGAATTTTTTCAGAATTTTTTAATACCATATTTTCCAAAAAAACCAATATTCAGCGATTTTTTGTAATTAATATCTTGTTAACTATTGCGAAAATTGCAAAATTGTGATGGTAAAGGACTTTTCGACTCAGTTTTTTATTAGAAACAGCACTATATGATTAGTGTACGTTATTTTAGATACACCCTGTATGTAACGTATTTATTAACATTCTTTTTGATTGTGGTTGCTTGTGTAAATTAAACAAAGCAGACTAAACTTTGTAATTGCTGTGCGCTTAATAAGAATCGTTACGTAATAGTCATGTGTCGATAATTATACTCACATGTTTCACATAGCATCGTGACAAAATTGTGTTACCTATTATACGCATATCGAACGTTTTGTTTGTAATTCTACATCATAAATTTTGCATGTATTCTTATTGTATATTATGTTATATTTTAAATTTTATAATGTAATTCTTTGTAATGTGTTACACATAATGCAAAATAAATTGTATACAAAATAGCGTAAATAATAAAAATGTAAAAAAATGTACTTACTGTAAAATAGGGTAACTTTAGTTTAGTCGAGATACTTTCGCTCAAATTTTGAAAAATGTCTAGACAGCACGCATATTCAAAATCAGGACGTCTTTAAGACGTTTTTAATGCTTTTTATGTTTAGATTTTGACATGTGTATTGTTTGGACATTGTTAAAGTTTGTGTCAAAGTTATTCCGATTTTAAGCCAAATCTCATTTTACAGTATAATGATAAGTTCCGAAACAACAATAGATAGCTGCAATAAGCCTTACATCTGAAGAAATTTATCAATCACAGTCGATTGCGAGAAGAATATTCGACTATGATTGGTCAATTTCATAAGATTTAAGTCTCACTTAATTTCGTTTTGGAACTAAAGAAAAAAGGACCGTCGGTTTAATTAAAATCTAAAGATATTAACTTCATTTATAAAAAAAATTGTGCAATCTAATTTAGAGATAAAATACATGATAATTACAACGATATTTGAAAAGTATATATATTTCTAATTCAAATATAATTTGCAGGAATTTTTACTGTGTATTTTCCTGTTCTGACATCGCAGTATGAGAATTTTCACTGATGGAAATTATTATATATGAATGTCATAAAGGAACAATAACAGACGACTAAGTAAGAAAGAGGAGAAGTATTGGACAATATCAGAAAATAATATGGTAAATATTTTATATATGTATATTTTTATTAATTTATTGATTCTGTTGATGTTACATAAAATAATTATACTCATCAAGCTTTCATAGAAAAGGAAATTATAATTAAATCTTTTTTCGCAATTTTGTTATATTTTTAGACAATTTGTTAGATAAAAACTATTTAAATTAATTTATTATAAATAGTTAAATTTCTATTTTGCTATAAAAGCATCAAATAAATAATATTAATATTAATCATTTCTTAATAAAAGAGAATAAAGTTCTACTTGATAAAATTGTTATAGACACGAAAGCATTTTCAATGCGATTTTAAATTATGATTTTTCAAGTTGAGAGAGAGAAATATTATAATTTAAAGAAACGATGATTTCTATACGAAGATGCCTATCAACGATTAAATAATGGTCTAGAAAATATTTTAATCAAGACTTCAAGAAGCAAAATTAATTTTATTCTTATAATAAATCGACGATATTTTGCCAACTAATCGTCCGAGTTAAGCGAATCTTACTCAGATTTCTATAACTGCTCACTTCGATTATTTTGCATATATGATAGTAAGAGTGAAAGTGTTTTCAAGCTGTCCTTGTTTGATCACTAACCATATACATATATGCATACTGTCTGTGAGTATACCACGAGATTTGAGTATATCACGTAACTATATATTATGTGTATGTGTGTACATAAATAGGTGGCCAAGAAATAAGAGCCTCTATCGGGAGTAATGCTTAATATGACAGCGAAGTAAGCAGTTTAGTTATAGAAATTTGTTGTCTTATATTCTCATTTATAGATACTGTAGGTTTTTAGTTTTCAAACGAGATCAAGATCGTCTCGATGCAATTTTTTGCGCGAAAATATTGACGATTATATGATCTTATAATTTAACGTAACCGGCTAGTGCGCGCATTTTGATGGTGACGTATCGTATTTCAAAGTGCATATAGTACACGCGTTTTTCTTTGTTTGTCTGTCACCTGAGACATGAACTTATAAGCAAAAAATACAGCGTAGAATTCTTTCATACATGGTGCACTTGATTTTTAAAACGCTATCATGATTTTTAAAATCTGATATTAAAACTCTAATTTTACGAAAGATTGATGATAGCAACAAAGGCTCCATTTAAGGCTACAAATGCTTTGAAACATTCTTTGATTGATCAATTAGTAAAATTCTTTCTTCTGATTGGTCAATTAAATGTTTGGAAGAATTTGTAGAATTAATGCCCGTTTCTACTAATGTAGATTAACTTTATCTTAATCTTGATTCAACTTACTTTTCATCTTTTTCTAATTCTTTGAACTAAAAAGAGATGAAGAGTTAGTTGAACCCAGATTAAAACTAAACTGCATTGATAGAAACGGACATAAGTGGACCGCATCCAAAAACTGATTTCCTCTGCAGTTTCACATTCTGCAAATACTTGAATTGAATATATAAGTACACCCTTTAGCATGACAATTATATACGTGTATAATAAAATATGTAATAAATTGCTAAAATGTAAAATATATAATGAAGAACCGCCAATAGAAATTAAAAAATAATAATAATCAATCTTTAGATATTACGCTATTAAGATATTATGTAATTGATATAGATTCTGCATATATAATTAAGACATAAAAATTCTTAATTTACAATTAAGAATTTATAAAGCCATAAAAAATAATAATATATAATGTAATTAGTCGAACGCGAAACTTTACAGAGGAAAGATCAGTTACGATATTTTCTGTATATTTTTCTTTGACTCTAAGTTCAAACTTTCTATTCTTGTCGCAATATCGTCCGTGCCATTTTTAATCGATTCTATATTAAGTTTTGTTCGCAAAATTTCTGTCGTTTGACTGCATATTTCATTCCATGAAATAGCAATGTCTTCTTCCCGACATAATCGGCTGCAAATGACGAATCTAGCAACAAGTTTTTGATGATACATGCCGGCGATGAGATAAACTTTTTTCCTAGCCTGCAGACGATCTAAGAGTTCCTTTGTTAAACTGTTATCACCCTGAAAAAAAAAATAATCTTTGAAGTGTAGAACTCTTCGAATTAACGCGATTAATTTATAATTAAAAGTGTAGTACTAATCAAAAAGAGATTCTAATATTACATAAAAACTTAAATGATAAATTAAATATATATGATTAATTAATTATTCAAGTTAAATAGAAATAAATTTGTTTAATTGAGATAAAAATTTATAAGTATAAAAAGTAAAAAAAAATTATCTGTTTGTAAAGATAATTTTTAATGTGTAAACTTGGAAAAAAACTTGTAGAAAGAACGTACATACCTTGATACGAAAACAGACAAGACCCAAAATGACTTCAGTAGTTATTTCGAACCTATCATCCGACCTGACGTATGTTTCGAAAAGATGCGCTAGTTTTATGTTATTTCTAATATACTCTTGAAGACCTTGTACTCCATAAATGCGCATGACAAACCACAATTTTAAAGAACGAAAACGTCGGCCTAACGGTATCTGCCAATTCTGTATATGAAAAATTTAAGAAGAATATTTTTAATTACATACATCTAATGATACTTTAATATTTTTAATTACATTTTTAATTTATTAGAAAGTCTATTAGGACAAGAATATTATGTTAGTAAAAAAATTTATAAAGTCTTACTCTGTAATCCGGTACCAATCCTTCTTTATCGTGTGAAAGATATATTCTGTTAACACTGAACGTTTCTACAAGTCGTCTCGAGTCTTTAACCCTAAAAGTAAGAACAAATAAAGTTTCTACAAATATAAACTTATTTCATAAAACAATTATCATAATTTCTATTTATAAATTTTTATTTTACGTAAGAAATTATTTTTATTTAATTTGACAGCTTGTTTAAATTTTATTTTCCTAAATTCTTATATAATAAAAAAATTGAATATTTCATTGAATTTAAATTGAATATTTTATAAATTATCTAAATTTTATATTTATTATGTAAATTTTTCTATTAAAGAGTATATACAAAAGACATTTAATACTTAAAAAAAAATTGGTGTTTATTTATATTACATGAGAAATATGGTAAGAAACCAGATAAAAAGAATTCACAAAGCCAAATTTACTTAAATAATTCGATTAAATTATTTTTACTTAGTAATATTATTGATATACATACCACATTACCGAAGCATCAAAATTCGTAAGCAACCATTTGTGTGCGTTTACATTAAAAGAATCCACGTACTGAATGCCGGACATCAAATATCGAAATTCCGGACAAATAAATGCTGCACCTGAATTAATACTATTAATTAAATTAATGAAATAAATTTTGTTATTATATCATATAAATACGAACAACACACATTGCAAACTTAGCCGGTAATTACTTAAATAGCACGAATCCAATATTTCTTATTAACTTTAACAATTTACGTAATACATTATGACAAATATATAAGACAAAAAATAAAGTTAATGAAAAATATAACTAATAAAGAAAGAGATAAATCGCATTATATTTACCCGCGTAAGCTGCATCAACGTGCAACCACATATCATATTCTTTGCATATTAGTCCTAGCTCGTCCATATTGTCGAAGGCACAGGTGCTAGTAGTTCCTAAAGTAGCGACGACATAACACGGTATAAGGCCTTTTTCTATATCTTCCTGCATTGCTTTCTTTAAAGTTTCTCCGCGCAGAGAGCACTTATCATCCACTGGTAGCAATCTCATTGGCATTGATCCTAGAATTCCTGCCTTCTCCACTGAAGAATTAGATTGATCTAAATGTGTAAAAAGAAAACATATTTGTACAAATATTCGATATAGGACTGGCATAAACGTAAACACTTAATTTGTAGGACATAAATCAATATAATATACACGAATTTACATTAGACTTATAATATTATATTATGTAACATGTACATTTTTGTGTCTTAGAATTCATTCATTTTCGTTAATACTTACTGGAAGTATATGCGACTAGTTTGGCTCTGATGTGATCCTCATCTAATTCTGGATGAAGTTGTTTCATTCGACGCACTGTGCGTTCTTTCGCAGCTAGTAGACATATGAATGTACATTCACTGGCAGACCCCTAGAATTAATAGACCAATTAAAATATGATTAATTTTTTAAATATTAACGTATACAATATTAAATATATAAACCATGTAGTAATTTATGTATAATAATAGTAAGTATGCTAATAAGATTAAGATATACAAAGTAGAATTAAATGAAAAATACGTGTATAGAAAAAATTTAATTAAAATATGCGTGTATATAATAATTTTTTGATAGAATAACGTATAATAAATCAACCTAACTATTTTTTGATAGAAGTTACATAACATATATGAAATATAATGTTAAAATGTTGCAAATTTTATTCAAAATTATGATTTGAAATATATTTTATTCATAAATAGATATAAGTATTTTATTGATTTTTCATGAGATTATAAGCAACTTGTGTTTCTCGTAGTAATTTTTTTTATATCAATTATTAAAGTATTATGAATATTTATTTAAAGATAGATTTTTATAAATAAACTTTTTTTTATAGTAGTTGAAAGTTATTAATTATCTTTTTCACGGTATATTATCAAAATGAATACGTTGATTTAACCTTTAAACCGCCAGAAAACCGATATATCGGCTCGTTTTAATTTCATGATATAGTTAGCCTGAAACGCTATATTTGAATTCAATTATACCATTCTGAGTATAACTATCAGTAAAACTAAAAAATAAAAAAAAACAAACAAAAATTTTTTAAATAAAAAAATATAAAAAAACTTAAAAAACAAAAAAAATAAAAAATAAAAATGAGCTACTCAAACTCTATACGTCCACATCATTAGCTCTGTGTAAAGCCGAAGGAGAGTTCTACCCAAGATTTATTTTACTGTTGTTTTCCATGCAATAATGGCTTCAGTATTCAAAATTATCATTTTCTGACCTCACCACAGTATTTATCGACTTCAAAAACCATTATATATGCATTATTTACAAATTAAAAAAATTTTAATTTTTTCCGTAACCTTTCCCGGAAAGCCGATATATCGACTCAAGCCGTGATGGAAACATTGTATAGGATATATCCTTGATACAAACACATGTTCTTGTTACTTTTCAATGAGGTTTTGATAACCTTTAATACCGGTGGTCTAAAGGTTACAGATATGATTCCCATTACGTGAGAGGTCCCGTTTGTCCGTCCAATTTTTGCCATAATTTTCAAAAGCTCCGAAAATGTATAGTTTCGTATTAGATTAAAAATATTCGTGCAATTTTATGCATTTTTTTTGTAAAAAAATGCGGAATCTGTCATCTCATTACGTGTGTATAAGTAATTATATGTATAATTGCTATTACCTGGATGACTCCTCCACCTGTTCCATTGCTACTATGCAAAAACTCGCTAGGAAGCCCTAACATCTGCCCAAGCCAATTGCACGTAATGACTTCGAGCTCGGTGCAAGCTGGAGATGCTACCCAGCTGAAACCGATACATCCAATCGCGCAGCTTATAATATCAGCGACGAGAGCCGGAAAAGAATTACCCGATGGAAAATATGCGTGAAAGTAAGGCGAGCTCCAATGTGTCACCTGCACACATTGATGAAAATGATAAAGTTTATCTTTTTTTCTTCAAAATATAAAATATGAAGGGATTTTTGTTATAAATTTAGAGAAAATTTATTTAATACTGCAAAATAAGTTACAAAATGAAAAGACAAATTGCAAAAGAAGCAACAAAAATAAAAGTATTAGTTTTATGTAGTACAAAATAATAGTATTAATTCTTTATCTATTAAATTTTATTATTTTTTTCTAATTATATTACTTTTAATATATTATTTCTAATTATATATTTTTAAAAAAGAATTAATTTTTTCTCTTATATATTTTTTTTTGTGGATAGAATTACATTTTTATTAATTTTAATACAACTCTATTAAATATTAAAATTTATTATTACAGGCAAGTTTTAATGTGATATATATAATAATATTTTGTAATGCAAAAAATTTAAAAAGGATTAAAAATTTACCCCTGGCATAATATATTTTTCCACATCTTCGAGCACTTCCTGCCATTTTTCGGATTTTTGCGGTGCTTCTTTTGGCAGTAACTTACTGAGATAACCCGGCTCCACATCCGGCAATACGTTTCTGCTTCTCACAGAATCATTATAATCCGCAACGTAGTCTATAGTCGCTTTGGCAAATTCTACGAATTCCGATGTGTCCATATTTTCTAAATTTAAGAGCACGCGACGCCAATCGTGCTGCAACCAACGAGTTGAAAAATCCGTTTTAATTAATAACATATTCGTAACATGAAAATAATGAAAGGAGTTTGAAATACAACTTTGAATTTGACATTGAAGTTAAATTTATGTAACAAATCGCTATCTTGCGAACGATTTTTATATAACTGTACCATTACATTGCTATAAATTTTATCATCGCGCGCTATTAAGATTATTTTACCTTGACTTAAATTTCATATTTGTTGATTTGTGTAAAAGAGTTCTAAAACCTTGAAAACTTCATGTTACATTAGCACTTCTTTTAAATTAATTTTTTTAAGAGAAACTTTTTTAAAAAAAGTGTGGTAAAATTTAAGATTAGAAAATCCATCTCCAATAGGGAACTATAACGGCTAAAATCTTTCGAATATTGTTCAAGATTATGACAATATGTATCAAGATCAAATCTATTGGAGGATTCCTTGATCTTTATTTTTACCAAAAACGCAATCCATTTACAAATACAATATACAATCGTTTTTATATTTTTAATAAAAATTAGAGCACATTGCATAAAATGACACATCGAATGTTGTTCACTATTACATCAAGCGATACTATTATAACGGAAACGATTCAATATATAGAAACAGCTAGTGCGGGAATACTTGGTAGCAAAACTCTGTTAAATATCAAATTAATCCTTGAATTAAATAACATTTCGTTATTTTTAACACGTTCGCTGCCCATTTGAAGATACCTCTGGGGAAGCCAATTTCACAAAAATTATTTATCGTCTGCGACAAAAACTAAGTTCAAAAAATGCGAACCAACATTGAATAATACAAAATGATGTCTTTGTGCCACAACTGTACAGTTTCATATTCCAAGCCCGACAGACTTGCTCACTATAATTAAATTTACTAAACGTGAAAATGATAAATCCATCACGCATTGATGAGCAGCAAACGTATTAACTTCCATGTATATCAAAACGTAAATCAATCCATTTCTGTGATTGAATTGCTTAGTTTTGAAGTAAATAACGTCTATAATTAATATATGCACAAATAATAAATTAAATTTGAATCAATATATTTTATATATTTTCTTAAATTGCTTAAAAACGACATTGTTTTAATTAGTTAAATCAACGACATATTGAGTGGGAACAATGGTGACTTATAAAAATTATTAAAAATTAAGTATAATTTGACATTATGAATTTAACAGTGAAGAGAAAAATTTCTCATACAAAACGTAAGTCTTCCAATAAAATCTTGCATTTTTCTTTCTATTTTCAAGATGAATATTTTTATTTCTAAGTATTATTTCCATTCATACGATCCATTGTGGAACTCGTACCTTTACGGTCTACGCGTCACGTGTTGCACAGAACAGGGGAAATTCACTATGTATACACCATAAACATCGTATAGTAGCAATCTTTCACTTAGATCCGAGATTCGTATCTCGCTGTTACCATCAGACACAATGTAATAGCGACAAAAATTTAACTGATCGATCCGTACGACTTGAGATAAACGCACGCCGGTGGATGATTCGGAAGTGTTTTCAGTCGAATACCGTCCTCTAACGTTAAATACCGCCACCCATAAAACTTTCACTTGCTTTCTCCGTAATCATACCAAATTTGTCGAGCGAGGAAGCGATTCTTCTCTAGTGCTCTGAAAATGTTCTTTCGCTTTAACTGATATTTTTTTTAATTAAACGCGGCTGTTAAATACTTTAATTTTAATTGGACGGTACATAAGAGCAATAGTAGTTCATAATAGTTATATTTATAAATTTGCAGTTTAGTTGTATTAATTAAATGTGTACTATTGATATTCATAACGGGTTTTTTATATAGAGTCTATATTTGTCATTTAATTTAAAATATTCTTTTTGTGTAAAATTATATAATTATATATATATATATATGTGTGTAATGAAGTTCTGAAATGTCCAACCAATCGAGAAGAAACATATCAAGAAAATAACAATTAGCTAAATGCTAAATAAAATGCGCGCATTAATAAAAAAGAATTAAATTTCATTAATATGTCCAGCAATCGAATATTCGTCAAAACAATATATCGCAAAATATTAACAACTTAAGTTTAATATAAATTCGAAGATACTATAAATTTGACAAAAAAAATATGCCATTACAAAATTCACAAGCTATATGAGTACATCCAAAATTGTAACGTTCTTGCATTTCCAGAAGATTCACAGAAAGAACTCTTTTACTCTTCCGAAAATCAGCTTGTATTATCTCGATAAGTTTCTTCATGATTGCATTTTTATACCTTTTTGTTTATCTTTTCCAAAACAGTAAGAGTAGATTACTGTATAATAGAAGAGACTTTGCTTCACTATGCAATGTGAATTATTGCAACTCTATTATTTATATATCTTCAGTTGATTACACGTAAACCTAACGAAGCTAGTATGTTTATTGAAAGTTTATATAAGAAGTTTGCTCAAGTATTGAGTAAATGTTTTATTTCGTTAGCTTTAAAATATTTATTGAATTATTTATGAGATGGAAATTTAAACATGGAAAATTGTTAATGACATAGTCTGTCGTTTCTATTACAGTTTTCTAAGTGTTTGTAACAAAATATTATTGTCAATAAAGAGAAGGTGTTACAACGTGCTTCTAAACAGTGTAATCACCAATGAAATTTTTCATAAATAGTATCATCATCGACAAAAGTCTTTATAAACAAATATAAACGCAATCTTTCATTAAACATTTTCGCCGAGGAAGTTGTTCTTTTATCAAATATGAATGTTTTACCCCTTTGTTTTTCTATTTCTTTCGGTTTTTTCTATTTTGTAAAAAAACAGACATTTAATAACTTTTATCACAATCCCTATATTATATACCCTGCATTATTTTTATTTATCAATTTTTATCATAATGACGAAATTATACAGTCGATTAAAATATGAGAAAATTAATGAGTATTCTCATTTGTGCATACAACTAACGATTTATTCGCAACATATTTAAATTTTATCGGTTTTTTATCTGTCACATGCTGTGAATGACGCTTAAAGTACTTGAAAAATAATGCTGCAAACCCAAAAATTCCAGCCAGGTTTCCAAAATAGTTAAGGTTTAATGTCCAAAAAATGATTTTTTTAACGATATTTGATATTTTTTTGTAAAGAAAGTTAACATTATCTTGAAATTCCAATAAAAGTTATGAATATATTGTTTATTCTCTATAAAATGCATTTCTTTTTATTTCAATATCTTTCTTTTTAGCCATTTTATGAAATATTTAAATACAAGGCTTTTCTAAGATAGTAAAAATTTTCCATTCGTAATGATACATAATTTCTAATTTGTGATTACCAATATACATTCACAGGCCATATAACTTTTGTTTGAAACATTTTTTTTTTCTAGAAATGCGTTTTTTAGGTATTTAATGTAGGAAATTAAAATGAGACTTTGTGTACATATGTATTATATACGTACATATTCAACAGTATCTATAACGATAAGTTACATTATATATCAATGGCTTAGAATAGTGCTCACAAGAATCTGCACATTTCGAGCCGATTCCTGCAGGCTCCCTTCACTACCGCTCAAGGCTCGGCGGCCTAGTTGCCTATCGCGCGCGCGACGTTGTGGCTTAGCAGCGTGTCCCTATACCAGAAATATACTAGGAATGCGCCTTCCGCCAAATTATTGAAATATATTTTTTATTAAAAAATTTATTTCTATTAACAATTTTCTATTAACAATTTTTTAATAAAAAATATATTTCAATAATGATTTGCGATGCATTGTACCAAAGACTCGTCTTCAGGTAGTTGGAACCAAGCATCGCAAAAACAGGCACTCCATGTTCATTCCGGTTGTTCTTTTTATTATTGTACAATAATATTTATACTTTAGCAACAATTTTTACTATGACATAAGAGCATAGGTTATTTCAAATTAGAAATACTCTGGGTATCTCATATTACGATTTCCACGCCTTACGGTTTTACGATCATCAAATCTAACTTCTGTAATTAAACAATTCAACCTATCCCGTACTTTTCTATTAGTACGATCTTACTGTATCACTACATGAAGAATTTATTGCTAAATATTTACTTATTAAATAATAAACAAGGCTTATCTCAATGAAACTTGAAGACATCTAAATTCTAAAATTTTTCTTTACAAAAACTACGGACATGATATAATAATGAATTTTCCACTAAATAGTTTTCAATCCAAGAGCAATAATTCATGATGGAACCAATAAGTAGCGTTCATTAGTTTAGCAGAAACACCGCTATCTCATATTAGGGACCTATCTCATAATAGGGGGCTTTCTTCTATATGTTCTAAGATTAATGGTCACAAATTAGTAATTATAAGTGACTTCATTCATAGACGAAAAATTTACTATCTTAGAAAAACTTTGTATTTAAATCGTTCATAATATGGCTAAAAAGTAAGATATTGAAATTTAAAAAAAATATATTTTATAGGAGATAAACAATACATTCATGATTTCTGATCAGAATGTCAAGATAATTTAATTACTTCTGTTTGTAAATACTCAAATATAATCATGACATTTGAGTATCAGAATGAATTATTTTGCGGTACGCATTATTTTTCTTTTATTGTTAAAAAGATTTTCTAGTCTCTTATCATCACATTATATGATTTTTATTTTTGAATATACGTTAATTTTTTTACAAAAGAATGTCATGTAATGCAAAAAAGCCATTTTTATAAAATGTTTTGTTACTTTTATCTCGAAAATTATTCAAAATTGCCGATTAAGTTATAAGGAAATTTAAAAGGAAAATACAACATACTTCACGGTCAAGTTCGTCCGCGTGATATTTAGATACTCAAATATATTCGTGACTTTGAATATCAAAATAAGTTTGCGGTACGCATTATTTAAAAGACATAATGACGTTCGCATTTACATTTAGAATGTATATTTAAAATGCAAATATATTAGCAATGCTGAAACAAAATAATTAAAAACAACAACAAAATAATCAACTACATAAAACATTTGTGAGTTGAAAATTTTTTAAAACAGACTCCTTTTGTTAAAATAAATAAAAAATTAAAAACAGGCTATAGGAGTCAACACGCAAGTTATTAGTAATGTGGAGTTATACAAAGACGGTTTAACATAGAACATTTCGACTCTCGGTTTGAGTCATCTTCAGCTAATATTCGGAGTTAAAAATTAATTAAATAAATTAAATAAAAACGAAATCACGCATTGTACAAATATCCACATCGTCAAAATCTGAAGTATATCAGTCAATGTTCAACAAAATAATTACAATGTTAGACAAAGAAATGCACGAGAACGAAAGTAATTATTTTCCGTGTTTTTTGACCGTTGAATACTACTTAAAAATATTCTTCTATAACGTCACAATTTTGAGAAATTTGCGAATAAGACTTCTGATCTCTCTACTTATTGTTTTCCTATTTAATTAGTAATATAGGATTTATTGCATCATTGTTATGACTTACAAGTATCATTAAAAAATCTGTCAAATGTTTTTTAATCATAACTAATTTCAATATAGCTTTTCTTCGTAATTATTATTCCTAGTATAAACATTAATAATAAAAGGATCTATTCTCTCTCTGTTCAATTTTTCCTTTCTAATATTATAATTTGAAGCAATTCGTATAAATATCATTGACTTTCAACATGCATATAATAATAAAGTGCAAAAAGAAAGAATTGTGGGCTCGTCCGGGATTTGAACCCGGGACCTCTCGCACCCGAAGCGAGAATCATACCCCTAGACCAACGAGCCTCATGAAAACTTTTTCAATCTTGATCTTCCACATGGTCGCAATCACAAAGTCATTAACAGCTGAAAGAAAACACTATTTATCTAATAAAAATTACTTAATGTATTTGAAGTAGTTACGTGCACCATTAGGTATCATATCCATAATATAACTTCTCTTTGAATTACCGAATATATCGTTTTATACAACATCCCATTCATTGCTTTTCTCACAGTGTGAGATTATGTGTTTCTTATTTTCATTATCTTTCCTATTTGTAAGTGTTTCTTTTATTGTTAAAAAGATTTTCTAGTCTCTTATCATCATATTATATGATAAAACATTTTTATCTTATTATCACGCGCGTTATTTGATTTTTATCTTTGAATATACTTTACAAAAAAATTATATTTTGGATATTGAACATATTATATTAATATTTTTAATAAATTTATATTATTCATACTCTTAGTTAAAAGACTTCAAATAAATTTAAGCGTACATTTATAACGCTTTAGTCTATCTTTGTATATGAATGAAAGAAGTCACGTCAACCAATATATTTAATTGATAAATAAATTTACATTTGAGAGTCCGAGAAGTCAATCGTTACAAGAGCAACAATTCCCGACATGGCTCGTTGGTCTAGGGGTATGATTCTCGCTTAGGGTGCGAGAGGTCCCGGGTTCAAATCCCGGACGAGCCCATTTTTTTATTAATCCAACTGGTTTCCCAGTGACCTACTTTC